CAACTCCTTGGGATCAAAAAGAGGAGGACTACAGCTCTTCACCCTCAGTCAGACGGCCAGGTGGAACGCCAACATCAGACAATTATTAATTACTTGGCGAAGTACATCTCCGAGAATCAAAAAGATTGGGACGAGTGGGTCCCTATGTTTCTTTTGGCTTATAGATCTTCGAAGCATGAAACCACAGGAGTGACCCCTGCAGAATTGTACTTCGCTCGAGAACTAAGACTACCGGTCGATTTGTTTCAAGAAACTCCCAGTTTTGACGAAGAAAGGTTACCCCCGGAAAATTTTGTCGAAAATTTAAGAGCAAAATTAGAAGAAATTCGTTCTTGTGTTAGGGAACGTATGGTTTTAAAGTCCTCTCTAATGAAAGCCAGATATGATCGGAAAGCTAGAGCAGTACTTTTTAAGGAGGGAGAGAGAGTCTGGTTATTTAACCCTCGAAGAAGTAAAGGGAAAGCCCAAAAATTGCAGAACAATTGGGAAGGCCCTTACTTAGTAGTGAAGAAATTAAATGATGTGGTTTACTGCATTCAGAAGACTGCTAGGCATAGGAAGAAAGTCGTCCATGCAGACAGGATAGCTCCTTTTTTTGAAAGGAATTAAAATTATGGTTGGGAACTGGGATAGGTTAGATTGGAGCCCGGGAACGTCTATTAGGAAGATTGGAAGGGAAGTTCTGCAAAATAAACTAGTTACTGCGTAATTTTACTTTTCTTTTTCAGGGCCTTCGATTTGAGGAAGGTTCTACTTAGAAGAGGGAGTTTCCTATCGTCTTCGTCTGATTCTACTGATCCTTAGAAGACTGCCTTTCCCACGGTTTTTGATCCGTGGTTTTCCCGTGTGGACTTAGGGCAAATGCCGAGGCAGGGATTTGGGGAGTCCATGAAGGACGAAGGGTCCACGGAAGTTTCCCCCCCCCCTTTTCCGAAGAACTCACAGGGAAACCGGAATGTAACGGGACGAACATCAAAGGTCTCTTGGGCACAAAGCGGCAATCGCTCGGTAACCTGAGGCAGCAGCCCAGGGAGAGCAAGAAGACTTGTCGGGGTCCTGGAAACGACATTTGCTTCTCAGTCGATTGGGACCGGAATGACGATGTCGCTTGGTAACCTGTGACAGAAGTCCAGGGAGGGCAAGAAGACTCGTCGGTACCCTGGAATCGACGTCGATGGATGTGCGATAGGATCCGGGATGGCAGAATCCTAGGGCACGATTTTGGAGCAGCGCTGAAAAACCCCCTGTTTCTGATTGTCGGGACGACAATCCTGGAGGAAAGGGGGGTAGTGTTACGACCCCGTGTTCCTTCCCTGTGAATAATTGGTCACCCGTGACGTTCGGCGGAGGATCGTCTTCTATCACGTTGTTAAGAAGAATATTGACAAGACAAAAAAAGACGAGGAGTCGACTCCCAGCTATCAGGCTGAGCGGACGTACCGCGGCTTTATCGTTCTTAACGTTCTGTTCTCTGTGTTGTGCATTTCTATGTGTTGTTCATTAAAGTTCTCGTGTTCTTTTAAACCGTGTTGTCATTTACGAGTGCGCGGAAACCGCGAGGTTTGCGAGCGCCGATCGGTTGTGTCACGCGCGCGTACGATCTTTCACGAAATCGCCGCCGCGGACGCGACAATATTGTTTATAAATTCACGTGCTGTGTAATTCAATGAGAGAGAGATAAGGATACGTTGAACGGAAAAAATCTAGAATTACTTATATCGGGAGTGAGGGGTGTACCGCGAAAGCGCAAAGCGGCCGAACATCGGCGCTGATATACGGGCGGCGGAAGCAGGGGTGCAAAGCAGCCGAACGGCGCTGATACGTTACAATTCTTCCGAGAAAAAATCGTGAAAGATGATTCTGAGGTACCGTTTGTTTATATTGTTTATCAACCGGGCATGTAATACAATATTGCTTATATTTTCGATAAATATATGGGATCGCGCGTACTTTTTACAAGGCGTTTACGACGATATGCCGATAATGTCACATCTCTATTATACGATCTCGTATCGAGATCTCACTGCCTTGTCACAAAGAGTTTGACAGTGCGCGAGTCGAGAAGTCAAAAAGTGAATATTTTTTCATATTACAACAATGGAGCTGCAAATACGTATGGAGGTGCACAATCACCCTTTTCCGAGATGACAATAATAGTGCTATGGAAAAATCGAACACTAAACAGATGTCAATAATACAATATGTGCGCGATCGAGAATTAGGCATACGAGGTATGCGTAAGCAACGTTTCGTCAGACAAGCCGAAGTTAATATGTATGAGAATGGGTATACCAAATGGCCCGATCATGTACAACTGAAAATTTTTCGTGAAATTCGGAAGACACACTACTCAATTCATGTATACGATGATGATTACTCTTATTTCGACAATAAACGTAAAATTACTCGAATCATAGACTCAGAAGATGGTTGACAATACCAATGTATTAGACGCTATAATTGCAATCAAATATTTGAATGTGACAACCATGTTTATATATAAAAATGTCGATTACAGTTGGGTAGATAAGTGTATCAATGACTGCACATACACGCCGTGTATAAATATACGTATCCCAACGGGCATAAACCAAACGTACATAGATTTAATAATCTGGAATGATTTTTATCATAATATTGAATATGATGATTTTAGAAAATGCATTGCTGGTAATCATAAATTATTATATATAACGCGGTATTGTACACAATGTCAATCTCGTAAATGCAAATGTCCGCCTGAAATTATATACAAAAAGTATGCATGTGAAAAGAAAAAGCAACAGGAAGAGAATATACAGGTAACGGATAATTTTTGCTAATATAATTACGAAATTAATTTAAAATATTCAAGTAATTATTTTTGGGGTGATTTTTGTAGGAGAATGTTTCAGGAGAGATGAAAAATCTGAATGGAAATCATAATGGAGATCTGAATGGAGATCTAAGTAGAAATCATAATGACGATTGTTATGTAAATTTTGATGAGCTATGGGCATTCTATAATATAACGGATTAAATTTTATATTTTATATTTTTCTTATTATTTTATACTTATTATTTTATTAGTCATACACATTTTATTAAATTTTATAGTTTTAATTTAAAAAATGTATTTATTTACGCACCTTTCCTTGCGCTCCCATTCCTTTCGCTATCTCTCTCGCACGCGTTCTCCTCGCGCCATCGCTCCCTCTCTCTCGCACGCGATGCATTTCAAAGAAATATTGATGTTTATATTATTTATAAACCGAACATGTTCGTACGCAATACTGTTTATCAGCCGTGCATGTAATATAATATTGCGATAAAACATCTAACGCGCCGCCGCCGAAATCCCCTTCGTCCCGCGTGACGTCATTCCCCCGCGCGCCTCACCCCCCCTCCCTAAGAGGACCTGAGTTAGAACTCTCCCTATATCACTACTAATATGCAATAAATTTAATTAAAATTAAAATCTTGGAAATATAAATTTGTCAGTTTTGATCAAAGATGTTTAAATTTTAAATCTATTATTTGATTTTTGAATTTGTTTTATTTTCAATATTTAGCTTCAAAATTCTTTTTATTTTAAATTACAATACACATAATATTTAATACTGAATTTCAATTTTAATTTTAATTTGGATTTTCATTCTTACTTCAATTTTATCTTTAATTTGAGGCGATCAATGAGCCACAACGAAAATAACCTTGATTTTAATTCTTATTTGTATTTGATGTTACTTTTATTTATTTATTTTTAATGCTATGTTAGTTTTATTTTCACATATAACTGAAAATTTTAAGTTTATTATTATTAATTAATACTATTATTATTTCATTTTTCAGTTCCATTTTGCAATGATTTCCATTCTACTTTATTCTAGATACCGTCAAACATTGTAGATATTTTACTTTAGATATCTAAGGAATTTATTTACATTACGCAAGAAAAAACAAATATAAAACTAAAAGGCATCCAATGCCAAAAAGCGTGAGTTAAAAAATAAATAAATAAAATTAAAATTAATCTTTCAATTATTATTCCCTCATTCAAGTATTAAAATGCATGAGGATAATATTTTTTAAAAAATAACACAAAATATGAAATAAAAAATCAAGCGCTTAATACCACTGGTATATTATTGTCTAAAGTAAACGTATTATTTTGACGACATTCGGAATAATCACAGTTTTACAAATGAACTGCCCTGAACTCGATTCGACAACAGATTGTTACAATAATTAGCGGAAAAAAGTCAAAAGACTCGTTAATCATGAGAAAGAAAACGCGAGATAAATTCTCGATAAACCTTTACCAGTCGAAAGGGCTGGTGAAGTCTTACATACGTTAGTGCGCGAGAGATTTTAACGATATGTCGATGTACATGTCACACGATAAAGCACGTTATATTGCTAATTTTCTGCGGAGCAAGTGGAGAAAGGTGTATCGCGCTCGTATCAAAGATCACGCGCGAACAGTTGTTGCGCAAATGAGAAGGTTGCATCGACACCCCACCCCACTTCCAACCATATCCACAATCGTGAAATCGGAGGATATTGGCAGATTCTGGATATGTAGGCGCTAGTAAAAGTTTCAATTATACATCTTTTACTACACTCGATTTTATTTTTCCTTTTCCACATACTTTGTTCTTGAATTTTTAACGTGCTCGACTGATTACTTTAGTTTTATGATGAGAAAACAAAAAGAAATCATTTGTATTTAATATAAAAAAAACATTTTTTATGTGCATACGTAGATTTATTTCACAATCTAGACTTTTTTATCTACAGACATTGTATAAAAAATAGTCATCATTCTATTCATTCTTTTATATATACATATATATATATATATATATATATATATAGAGAGAGAGAGAGAGAGAGAGAGAGAAAGAGAGAGCAATTAGAAGAGCGATGGCTAAAATCTTCTGATGTTACTCAGGGCAGCAACCTTGACAACATACGTCGAGGTCAAGGAGGCTCCCTTCATCGATATATTGATCAAAAAATCATTCACCGAAATTTGTGATACATTCCGTATAATATTGCATATCATATGGATACCTTTGTTGCAGGTTTTTATTTGGTACGTAATGAGTACCTTCAAATCTATAAAAGAATCGCCCTATTTCTATATTATTGATTTCTTTTGGTGGACATTTCGATATCTTATCTTGTGGCGCATAACATATTTTATTATTTTCGGCGAGAATTATGTAGTGCGGTTGTCTGTAAGTCGAACAACATACTTTATCTACAAAATTTGAGTTAGCATGATCATTTAAAAATGGAAACACATCTTTACTGTCTATCAAAGCGAAAATTTTATATTTATCATGCCAACCAATTATCACCCCATCAAAAGTTCGTGAATCGTAAAGCCAAAGCAAATCTGGTGAGGAAAACGTTACGATCATTCCCACAGCAAATTTCATTCCTTCTTTCCTTTCTTTTGGTGTTTTATCAGATCTGACCTGCGAAAATGTAAAAGCAACATTTAAATAATATCTTGTCGATTTTTAAAATAATAATTTAAATTGTAAATAATTATAATTAATATAATTTTTTTATATATTGATAAATGAATATTAAAATATGTTGCATGATATATAATAACTTACCTGTATTACATTTGTAATGTGTTTGTAGTAATCTTTAATCCACACATCATCATAAAAGCATGCAGAATGCATCACAGCAGAACGCATACTACATACAATGTTCCTTAGGCTATAGGTAATCGTTTCGAATTTCCATTTATAATTTATACAATAATTATTTTGTAGTTCAATTTTTATATAATCTGTCAAAAAAGTGTATGTTATCTAAAAACACAGATAAACAAAATTTCAGTTTCAATTACAAACAAGAAAATAAAAATAACGTTTTTATTTTCATTCATTGGTTATAAAATGTATTGATTCACTAACTTAATATATTAATAAGACTTAGTTAAATGTTATTTTGATCATCTATTGCTAAAAAGTAAGATAAAGTATTACATTGAGTAGCCACTGATTGTCATCAATTTTAAGCTTCTGCGGAAAATTATATGTATAATTTAATTTATCATATCTTCCTTTAACAATATTTAACGGATAAATTAGTTTGCAGTCGGATACCTTATGGATATAAAAATACTCTGCATTATCCCAAATCTTTGTATTACTGAAAATAATAAAAAGATATCCATTATATATATATATATATATATATATATATATATATATATACAGGCATATATGTTTAGATATAGAGAAGGAATATTTATTATAATTGATATTTTTATTCTCCATTTACAATCGATAAAAAATGCTCATAAATCTATCTTACTTGAGAAGTAGCTTATAATAATAAAAAAAAAATTATAATAATTTCTTTTTACATCATATTTGTCATTCCATATATAATATTATTTTATCATTTCATATATTAAAACAAAGTTATATACTTTCAGAGTAAGTGAAATATAATTAAATAAAACGTAATTTTACTTACTATCTCTGTCTCCATATAATTACTAAATTACACCCCAATTTACTCTCGTCTTTAAAGTCAGCACAGTCATCATATATTGGGTATAGAATGCAGTGTATGCCCAATCTTCTGGCTACGCTATGATATATAGCAATATGCAGAAATTTTGAAAAAAAATCTGAAATCTATATTATAAATAATATTTAAAAAGTTGCATAATAAGACATTTATAAAATATGAAAATAGTAATTCTTGCACGAAACAAAACAAATTACTATTAAAATTTAATATAATGTAAAATTACTTACATAATCAAACAATATATATTTGTCTTCAAGATCGGATATCATCAATAATTGAAACGATTTATGAATATCTAATTCCGAAAAGATATATTTTTCAAGTTCACACATAATTTGCATTGTTTCTGTTGAATTCCAGAAATGATCATTTATATTATTATTTTTCCAAAAAAGAAATTGTTCTACAGATGTCGAGAATATGGGATGCGTAGGATGTTTCATTTTAACGCGATCTAATATTTCTTGTGAAATATTATCTAACCACATTTTTATGACCGAATAAGACACATGTGGTTGAAGATATTGCGCGACAATGGTAATTAGTCGTTCTAATAGCGGCGAATTTATCGTCGGCTTATAAAAATGTTTTATATTATTATATGTATATCGATACAGTTTTAAGAAATTTACAATTAATTCCAAATTATATTTAACTGTCAAATTTTGATCGTATTTTGACCTGAAAATAATTTAAAGATTAACTATAAAATAATATATACATGAATTTATATTATTAATAACAATGTATGACAGTTTAATAAAATATACCAAGATAAGTGGGATTGTGCAGAACTAATTGTGTTTATCTCATCCAACACAAAAAAATAAGTCAATTTGGAATTTCCAACAATGTAAAGTAGAAAGCTTTCCAATTCTTTTTTGTCAGTTGTCGATAAATTATTATCGGACATCAATGATACATAATATTGTATCTTTTTGACATGCTTTATTCCTGTTTTTATCAGTTCTTCAAAATTTATATAATCAAAAGTTTTCTTCGGCTTTTGTGTGCAATACTTTCTCGCAGTAGGACATCTACAATTTGATTCAAAATAGAACATTTTGAATATCACATATTTTTCTTTAAAATACGTGTACATTTTTTAATTATATACAAATTAATATTTGTTGCAAATCAAATAAGTTGGGAATCTTAATATTTATTTTTCTTTCTATTTAAGAGAAATATATATTAATTTCTTGCATCACAAATTGTCGTATGGTTTGACAACTGTTGAAAAGAGTGGAAAATGTTTTTTTACACATGTTTTATATTTCTTGCTAAACTTAGTTTTCGGAACATTTTATGGCTTTTACAAACACGTTACACGTCACAGCACTAGGATAAAGTGAATAATAATGAAATGGCAAGAATTTTTAGTCATGTTATTTAGGCTGTCAAAATATCATTTTTGATGTCTTATAGTTTGTCGTTTTGCGTGTGTGGATAAACTTTATGTTCATTATTTAATAGAATTACTAAAATAATAACGTAATAATTTTAATTATCCTTTTTCATCATTTTGTTATTACGGAATTATTTTGTTGTGCGACGAATATTGATAAAATGTGAAATTAATATAACATAATTATTAATATAAAGTAAAATTCATAAATATAAAGTAAAATTGAAAATTAATATAAATTTATAAATATAAATATAAAGTACCTCTGATAAAACTTCTTTTTCCAAAAGTAGTTGCTCAGTGTTGTCTGTTGTAATCTTTTACACGTGGACTTAAATCTCATGATATCCATTATGCTGATGCTTTTGTCTTCTAGAATGATACCGATTATTTCAATCGGTAAATATTCAATTTTATTGCTAGCCATCGAGAAAAGCAAGTTCATTTCAGATGATTCATCCATTTAAGAACTGACGATGCTCAACGTTAACTTCAGTGATCGCACGCGAACTGATGTTTTACAACGTGGTACGACCATTGCCTTCACGTGATTTAGACTGAGAATCCATTTAGAAATGCTTCGAAGGATGTGTTCCAAAATTCACTGCCAGCGTTGAAAATCTATAGTTCACGTTAGGGTGCGATCTCATGGACTTAGGGTGAAGCCAGCGTACGGTGTAAAAAAACTAGGCCAATCACAGGCTTTACGTCCGTTTTCGTTACGCCAGCACGGATCACGCTGGTTTGTACATGGCGTTCGGCATTCTATCGGCGTTTACACATATACATATACAGTGACCGGCAAAAATAAAAAGCCACTTTCCTAGTTATACTGTTTTGCTTAATGAAAGAGTAAAAATATTAAAACGATGAGATTTTCATTGATGAAAGAAGAAGTATTTATTATTTATTTTAAAATTTTATGTTACAATTACATAAATTATTTTTTACTTTTCAGTTTTATTTATATTTCTTAAATATTGCTGTTTATTATATTGACAAAATAAAAAAGCCATTCAGATTTGTTCGATTTAATATATACAATATTTTGTTTGGTTGTCATGTCAACATGTTCGTGTTATTGCGCTCACTTCTCGTTGTTGTTAATCATTTTTGCAACATTGGCTTATCTCGATTATTACACAAAATTCGCGGTCAAAAATGGGAGGAAGATCAATTTCCACACAAGTTCGAAACTTAATTGTGCGAGATATTCAAAAAGGTCTTTCCCAACGGAATATAGCCAAAAATTATGAAGTAAGTAGAGGAGCAGTAGAACAGATCAGAAGAAAATTTCAATCAACTGGATCGGTGGCAGATAGAATCGGAAGAGGTCGAAAACGAGCAACATCCAAGCGGGAGGATATGAAAATAATCCGTGAAGTTAAGAAAAATCCAAAGATTACTGTTAGAGAAATTCAGGAAAACATTTATCTTACTGTTTCTGACCGCACTGTACGTCGAAGACTCAATGAAGCAAATTTACACAGCCGGTTTGCACGTAAACGACCTTTCTTTAGCGTCACCAATAAGAAAAAACGTTTGCAATTTGCTCGGAAGTATGCAAATATGTCATTGGACTTCTGGAAAAATATTTTATGGACAGATGAAAGCAAATTCGAGTTATTTGGACAAAAGAAGCGGATTAGAGTCTGGAGAAAACACGGCGAAGAGCTTCAAGATCGTCATATTCAGAAAACTGTAAAGTATGGCGGAGGAAATATTTTAGTCTGGGGATGTTTCTCATGGGCAGGAGTGGGAAATATTGTCAAAATTAACGGAATTATGACAGCAGATGTCTACATTGATATAATAAATGAAAATTTGGAGGAATGTTTGTTGAAACTCGGACTAGAAGATAATTTCATTTTCCAACAAGATAATGACCCGAAACACACAGCAAAGAAAAGTCAAGCTTTTTTTCGTTCCTGCCGAATTAAACAACTTGAATGGCCTCCGCAATCTCCAGATTTAAACTCTATCGAAAATTTCTGGGCAATTTTGGATAATAGGATTAATAAAAGCGGAGTAACTAACAAGAATTCTTATTTTGAAGCATTACAACTAGCCTGGGAGAATTTGGATCCACAACATTTAAAAAATTTAATTGAAAGTATACCAAAAAGACTGCAAAAAGTAATTGAGGCTAAAGGAAATCATATTAATTATTAATTAAAATAATATTGTTGTTTTTTTAAATCGTAATACTATGTTACCTTAACTGGCTTTTTTATTTTGTCACTCTTAAATAAATGATTATATAGAAATAAATACAGTATTAAATAAAAAATGATTTCTTTTTAATTAAAAACATTAAATTACTTAATAAATTTTCAGTTTTAGTTATAAAAACTTTATAATGAATTTTTTTTTACCTTTTAGCATCAAATCAGTTTTATAGTTAAGGTGGCTTTTTATTTTTGCCGGTCACTGTAGTTGAGAACAGTTGAAAGTCCGTTGCCGCCTTTGGACGAGAGCGGATGTATTCCTGCGCGTCCTTGCGCGTTCTTCGCCAGTTATCTTCAATTGGTTTTAGGAATACCATATCTTTTAAAGTATTCCATATTACAGATTGCAGATTTGAAGGCGAGTGCGAGCAGAAATTGGCTCACGAATAATAAATTGTTTCTGTATATGCGGTAAAACAATATGCAACAATTTTTCAAATGTTTCTGGTGTCATACGAAAATAATTAAAAAATTTGTCGACATCTTCAAAAGTCATTTCTTGCACCAGATTGTTGCTAGCCCCTTGTGCAAATCTTCTTTCGATATTAAAAATTGGTCTAACCCAAAATCTTCTGCGTTTAATTCTAGAATCTCTTTTTTTTTCTTCGATTCTCATTAATTTGTATATTATATATATTTTCATTAATTTTTGTTGAACAGCTTCTTTGCATAATGTATTTTCCGGGCATTTGTATATTTTTAAATACTTTATTAAATTTATTAACGCAAAGTCCGAGTCCAACATTTTAACAAGAAGATTATGTGCACATTTGTTTTGATTGATTTCATGTATGAAAATGTATATGTATTAAAACGTCACGCTGAAAATTTCATCGGGTGTCCCATGGAGCGTATTTACGCCGGCGTAATGATCAATAAGCCAATCACAAGATCCCCTGAGTATCCATTTTAAAAATGAGCTTTGTAAAAAGTTATTGTGATTGGTTTATTTATTTTTATGCCGCGTAAATACGCTCCGATGGGACAGCCGATGTTTTTGCTGGCGTAACGAAAACGGGCGTAAAGCCTGTGATTGGCCCAGTTTCTTTACGCCGTACGCCGGTACGCCGTACGCTGGCTTCATGGGACTTCACCCTAATATTTTCCGCGTAACGCGTTTTGCGTAACCAATCAGAGGCATTACACATTTTCTGTTACGCAGAACTGAAAATCCTTAATGCATATGGAATATAAAATGGTGTATCGCGTATCGAGTATAACCAATGATATTTTTATTCTATTAGAAAGTTCCAACAGAAATGCTAAATGCTTACAATTTATTGGTTATATGCGATACGCGATACGCTATTTTATATTCCATGTGAACGATGAAAATCTGAATAACACGTAAATATATATGTATGAATGTCATATAATTAAAAGTGTGGTATAATAGCTTATTAACATTGAATATTAAACTAAAAATGAATTCAGATTTATTAATATCTATTATTGCTTTACAAAAGCAACGAATAAATGAAAACAAAATAGAAACTAATAAACAGTCAATTATAAAATTAAAAAAATGATTGATTTTTTTTATTATACAAAAAGGAAGAACAAAAAAGAATTGTAAAACGAAGATATTGGGTTCATCTAATTTTTTTACCAAAAAGCGTCAACAATATGGAGCAAGTAATACTCTAATAAAAGAATTACATTTTTACAACGAAAAAATTGAATGAATTATTTCCGTATGAATAAAAAAGCATACGAAGAATTATTAAACATAGTTGGATCATACATAATGAAACAAAAATGTATTCGGAATCCAATATCGGCAAATACACGTCTGGAGATATGTCTTCGCTATTTTCAGGTGATAGTATGAAGTCTCTTTCCTATGCGTTTCGTGTAGGGACTAGCACTATTTTAAAAATTGTGCTTGAAACTTGTGAAGCAATTAGGATTAGTTTGCGGGACAAAGTTTTTCCAAAATTTGACAATGACTTCTGGAAACATATAGCAAACCAATTTGAAGAACGATGGTATTTTCCACATTGCATAGGAGCTGGATGGCAAACATGTTGTACTTTAGGTATGTTAATATTTTAAACTTAAATTTCTTTTATTTTTATTATATTAAGAATGTGATTGTCTTAAACATCACATACAGGCTCCTCCCAATAGTGGGATTTACTACAATTATAAAAGTCAGCACAATTTGAATTTGTTTGCACTATATGATGCACAATCGGTTCATCACCGTGGACATTGGAGCAGAAGGACGACAAAGTGATGGTGGGGTATAAAATAAATATAAAAAAATATGAAAATATGAAAAATATAAAAATATATAATGAAAAAAAATAGAAGAGAGTAAATAATGTTGTAGAAATATTTGTGTATAAAATAAAAAATAACTTACTGATGTCTGAGATGCCTCCATGTTGCTTATAATACCGCTCTAAAAGTTGCGTAAACGCGCATTAAGTATGTACGTACCTTTTTAAGAAAGGCGTAACAGAAAATGCGTAATGCCTCTGATTGGTTACGCAAAATGCGTTACGCGGAAAATATAGTCCATGGGATCGCACTCTTACGTATATTATATATTTTCAGCGCTGGCAGTGAATTTTGGAACATAGGCAAAATGTTCGACTCAAGAATAATGATAAAAAATCATAAATTTCTCGATTCTGATTGAACAATGGAAAATAAAGCCTTAAAATAAAGTCGCGTCTACAATAGGCAATTTAAACTTTAAGCCTTAAGAGATTGACCAATCACAGTCAAGTATGAAGAGAATACTCGATTGTGATTGGTCAATTTCTTAAGGATTAGGGCTCAAATTATCTATTGTAGATCGGGACTAAAAGCAGATAACAAATTCTTCGAAGAATAAATTCTAAATAATCTTTTCCTCCCCCTCCTCTTTCTAACTTTTCTAGTCTTGAGATTTATGATTTCACTTTGCTTTGTTTCAATATTATTTTAATGGAAAATTAAATTTAATGGAAAATTAAATTTTTTGTTCTTTTGACCATTATATTGATATATGACCATTGTATTGCGGTCATATTTTTTCCTATTGAGATTATGATTTTCTAAAAATTTCTTGTATTTTAATTTCATTATTCTTATATTTTATTTTAATTATAATTATTTAAGGAAAATTAAGGAAACTAATGAATGAATCGCGAAATATGCGAGGAACTACAAGGAACAGTCGACATAGACAAAATAAGTATTTGCAGCT